CCTTTTTATATCGAATCAGTTTCACTTTCTGAGCGAAGAATGCTGATTCTTCTTTGAAACTTATCAAGATTCTCTAAATATATAGCAAAAACACTAGAGCAAACCAGACAACAATCTTGAAAGCAAGGACGAATGGTAGACTAATCTCTATCTATAAAAGGTAGGATGTGCGTGTGTGTGTGTGTGTGTGTGTGTGTGTGTGTGTGTGTGTGTGTGTGTGTGTGTGTGTGTGTGTGTGTGTGTGTGTAACGAATGCCCGGCCGCGATTTTCGACGGATTTACACCAAAATTTACATGCACATGCTCCAAGTTAGCGGGATGGCAAAGATCGACTTTGCATTTACCAACTCCCATCGATAGTGGAAATAATCGTTTTCATGCTTCTACAGCAGTTTTCATGCAGTTTGCGGCCATTTTCTACTGGCCAGAGTGAGAGCCTATAGCTGGCTGCCACGAATAGGCAGGAAGATTCTACTGGCCAGCGTGAGAGCCAACAGCTGACTGACACGAATGTTAACTAGCATGCTAGCATGCAAAAAAAAATCGATAGCTGCATTCGTCAAAAGTGGGAAAAATGTAAATCTGCATGTCACTTTACTCCAATTGGCTCATTCGCTTGCTTAAACTCAACGTTGATTCTGATTCCGCAGAACTGGGTTGGGTGTGAAAAAGTATTTGTTGTTAACATTCTTTTTTCATTCGGTTTTTCCAGTTACGAGTCCTTTTTTAAAGCTGATCGTTTTGTGTTCATTTTGTTTAGTTCTTTTTTCGTAACAGATTTAATGTTTAGTATAGAGCTTAGAAAAAATTCACAGTGTGAGATAGGCAAGAAGACATGTAGCAACATCAGCACGGCAAAGAGCACTCCTTTAAAGGCAAGGAAGGGCAAAAATATTTTGTCAAGTGATAGTGATTGTTGTATGAGTCGTACGATTTTTGAATCAAGCACGGACAACGCTATGCTGCTAGTAAATATCCAAGATAGATTTTGGTGAGGAATCTTGTCTAGCACGACATTTTGAACTAACTTTCTTAGCTTCAAACTTAGCAATTGGTTCAATATATTCTTTCTACAACATGACAACTGAAAATATTAGTCCTAGAAGTGGAAATGAGTTACACTCCTGATTAAAATCAGTTTCTTTTTTATAGGCGTTGAAATTAACAAGCCACTGCTTGCCCCATTTAACAACGACTGCTGTCCTACCAGAAACTTACTGAAAATCTTATGGACGGCGCTCTTAGAACCATCGCTATAAAGGGCGCGATTTCTTAAACTCTCGCCGCATTCGTTCATTTTGCAAATCAAAGCCGTGTAATGTGAAAACAATTTAATACAAATAATCCATCCCAAAAGCGTACAGATAGACGCGAGGTATATTTAGGAATAAAATAAGGAAGATGATCAATGCAAACAATGGATATTTTTCCAAACACACACACACACACACACACAAAGATAATAAGTATAACTCGATATGAGTTGTCCTTTCATTCTCGCAACAGCGATGCCTCTTAATTGTGTTTTCAAATTGATATCGGGGATATATACACATATATATATATATATATATATATATATATATATATATATATAAATGAATCATTCATACAAATCTCCTAAAAAAAAAAAATTAAGTAAGTAATGTTCTAACTTAAATTTGCAAAAATTTAACCTTAGCGTTGCGACTGCATGCTCCACAAGTCTGTATCTGTTATGAATGGCACTTTTAAAAAATACATATTTCGATTTGCATTATATATATATATATATATATATGTATATATATATATATATATTCCTCTCGGATGCTACCTGAATTTTACCAAAAACAAAATAGTTTCCATGCCTGAGGATGACCAGAGGACCTGTCGAAAATAATTTTATACTTAAGAAATTTAAAAATCATGGATCATAAAATTCATCGAGTGATTTGTAGGTTAATGTACCTTTAAAATTTTGTTCCCGAGGGGATTTTGCCATTTTATATCAGTGACTTTTACTAATTTATTTATTTTATGAATGAATATATATATATATATATATATATATATATATATATATATATATTCAAGCATGTTTGTTTGAATGATCGGAACATATATCTATTTATTCTTAGTTTAATTCACTCGAATTCTTGGATAAGCATTTTAATACTGATATTATAGTCTAGTGTTAATGTGATATTAAATTTATTCGCCGTAGTTTTTTTTAGCCACCGTATAGCAGGGCTGATAGTACATATCATATCAGTACTCTTTTCTTTATTTCTGTCCCATCAAATCTCTTCTTCAGATCTCAGGAAATACTCCAGTATTCACTGCCATATAGGGTGACTTATATTACATAACAGTTCAGTACTCTTTTCTTTGTTTCTCTTGCTTCAAGGCTCTTCTTCATCTGTGAGGAGATTGTCCATCATTCACTGCCATATAGGAGGACTGATATTACATAACAGTTCAGTACTCTTTTCTTTGTTTCTCTTGCTTCAAGGCTCTTCTTCATCTGTGAGGAGATTGTCCATCATTCACTGCCATATAGGAGGACTGATATTACATAACAGTTCAGTACTCTTTTCTTTGTTTCTCTTGCTTCAAGGCTCTTCTTCATCTGTGAGGAGATTGTCCAGCATTCACTGCCATATAGGAGAACTGATATTACATAACAGTTCAGTACACTTTTCTTTGTTTCTCTTGCTTCAAGACTCTTCTTCATCTGTGAGGAGATTGTTCATCATTCACTGACATATAGGAGGACTGATATTACATAACAGTTCAGTACTATTTTCTTTTGTTTCTCTTGCTTCAAGGCTCTTCTTCATCTGTGGAGGAGATTGTCCAGCATTCACTGCCATATAGGAGAACTGATATTACATAACAGTTCAGTACTCTTTTTCTTTGTTTCTCTTGCTTCAAGACTCTTCTTCATCTGTGAGGAGATTGTCCATCATTCACTGCCATATAGGAGGACTGATATTACATAACAGTTCAGTACTCTTTTCTTTGTTTCTCTTGCTTCAAGGCTCTTCTTCATCTGTGAGAGATTGTCCATCATTCACTGCCATATAGGAGGACTGATATTACATAAGAGTTCAGTACTCTTTTCTTTGTTTCTCTTGCTTCAAGGCTCTTCTTCATCTGTGAGGAGATTGTCCAGCATTCACTGCCATATAGGAGAACTGATATTACATAACAGTTCAGTACACTTTTCTTTGTTTCTCTTGCTTCAAGACTCTTCTTCATCTGTGAGGAGATTGTCCATCATTCACTGACATATAGGAGGACTGATATTACATAACAGTTCAGTACTATTTTCTTTGTTTCTCTTGCTTCAAGGCTCTTCTTCATCTGTGAGGAGATTGTCCAGCATTCACTGCCATATAGGAGAACTGATATTACATAACAGTTCAGTACTCTTTTCTTTGTTTCTCTTGCTTCAAGACTCTTCTTCATCTGTGAGGAGATTGTCCATCATTCACTGCCATATAGGAGAACTGATATTACATAACAGTTCAGTACTCTTTTTCTTTTTTTTCTCTTGCTTCAAGGCTCTTCTTCATCTGTGAGGAGATTGTCCAGCATTCACTGCCATATAGGAGAACTGATATTACATAACAGTTCAGTACTCTTTTCTTTGTTTCTCTTGCTTCAAGACTCTTCTTCATCTGTGAGGAGATTGTCCATCATTCACTGCCATATAGGAGGACTGTTATTACATAAGAGTTCAGTACTCTTTTCTTTGTTTCTCTTGCTTCAAGACTCTTCTTCATCTGTGAGGAGATTGTCCATCATTCACTGCCATATAGGAGGACTGATATTACATAAGAGTTCAGTACTATTTTCTTTGTTTCTCTTGCTTCAAGGCTCTTCTTCATCTGTGAGGAGATTGTCCAGCATTCACTGCCATATAGGAGGACTGATATTACATAACAGTTCAGTACACTTTTCTTTGTTTCTCTTGCTTCAAGTCTCTTCTTCATCTGTGAGGAGATTGTCCATCATTCACTGCCATATAGGAGGACTGATATTACATAACAGTTCAGTACTATTTTCTTTGTTTATCTTGCTTCAAGGCTCTTCTTCATCTGTGAGGAGATTGTCCAGCATTCACTGCCATATAGGAGAACTGATATTACATTACAGTTCAGTACTCTTTTCTTTGTTTCTCTTGCTTCAAGACTCTTCTTCATCTGTGAGGAGATTGTCCATCATTCACTGCCATATAGGAGGACTGATATTACATAACAGTTCAGTACTCTTTTCTTTGTTTCTCTTGCTTCAAGGCTCTTCTTCATCTGTGAGGAGATTGTCCATCATTCACTGCCATATAGGAGGACTGATATTACATAACAGTTCAGTACTATTTTCTTTGTTTCTCTTGCTTCAAGGCTCTTCTTCATCTGTGAGGAGATTGTCCAGCATTCACTGCCATATAGGAGAACTGATATTACATAACAGTTCAGTACTCTTTTTTTTGTTTCTCTTGCTTCAAGACTCTTCTTCATCTGTGAGGAGATTTCTTCATCTGTGAGGAGATGTCCATCATTCACTGCCATATAGGAGGACTGATATTACATAACAGTTCAGTACTATTTTCTTTGTTTCTCTTGCTTCAAGGCTCTTCTTCATCTGTGAGGAGATTGTCCAGCATTCACTGCCATATAGGAGAAATGATATTACATAACAGTTCAGTACTCTTTTCTTTGTTTCTCTTGCTTCAAGACTCTTCTTCATCTGTGAGGAGATTGTCCAGCATTCACTGCCATATAGGAGGACTGATATTACATAACAGTTCAGTACTCTTTTCTTTGTTTCTCTTGCTTCAAGTCTCTTCTTCATCTGTGAGGAGATTGTCCATCATTCACTGCCATATAGGAGGACTGATATTACATAACAGTTCAGTACTCTTTTCTTTGTTTGTCTTACCTTCACTACTCTTCATCATCTATGATGAGATTGTTTAACATTTTTTCTTTCTTTTCCTTCTTTTCTTCATTGTTTCATTCTTTCTTTTTATCCAACTTCATTCCTAAGTTTTCATTTGAATTACAAGAGGAAAATGAGGAAAGCACCAATTCAAAACGAAAAGAAAGAAAGAAAGGAAGGAAGAAAAAAGAAAGAAAGAAAAAAGACAGAGAGAGTGAAAGAAAGAGGAGGACAATAAATAGGTGAAGAAAAAACGGCTTGTAAGAAAGAAACAAACAAAGAAAGAAACAAAAGACTATGAAGGAAGAAAATTTGGAAAGACAACAAATTTCAAAGAATGAAAAAGATAAAAAAAAACTGAAGGAATAAGGATGGAAACAGAGAAGGCAAGAAGTAGAATTGAATAAAAAGAAAGAAAGAAAGAAACAAACAAACAAACAAAGAAAGAAACAATGAAAAGGGAGAGTGAAGGAAAAATGTGAAAAAAGATGACAAATTTTAAAGGAAAATAGATGAAAACGAGCTAAAAGAAGAGAGGGGGGAAGAAAAAGACGTTATGTCGAACCGAATAGGAAGGAAGGAAGGAAGGAAGGAAGTTAAGAGACGATGAAGAATATGCGAAGAAGGAAAGATATACGCAAAGAAAGATTTACAAATCTGTAAAAAGAAGGGAAAGTATGAGACGAAGAAAGAAAGAAAGAAAGAAAGAAAGAAAGAAAGAAAGAAAGAAAGAAAGAAAGAAAGAAAGAAAGAAAGAAAGAATGCAAGTGACCACGAGTAACTAAAGAAAGAGACGCTGGAAAGAAAGAAGCAGCAAGACAAAACAAAATAAAAAGATTAAAAAAGAAAGAAAGAAAGAAAAAACGAAAGAAAAGGAGAATCACTAAAGGAAGATAGATAGGCAAATATGGCGAACCAAATAAATAAAAAAATCCTGGCCAACTTCGAGCATTAATTACAAGAAACTATGAAAAGAAGATTCAAAGAAAATCAGTCTAAGAATATGAACCAAAGATGAACTGGAGAAAGTGGGAAGAAAAGATGGCGAAAAGTGAGACTCAATTAATAGGAAAAGAAATGAAGTCGCCAGGGGGGAAAAAAAAAGGTCGTAAAAACCGAGAAAATAAAACAAAGCGGGAGTAAACAGGAAGAACGAGAAAACAGACGACAAAGACGACGAACAAAGCCAAATGTGGCGGGAAGATGTCCAGTGTAATTTGAAGAGGGGGAAATTAAAAGAAAAAAAAACTATGAAAAGAATCCGAATATCAAAATAATTCCGACTGGACAACTTATTGAAAACATTGGAAAGAAGTCAAGATAACAAAAAAAAAATATTTTTCTTTGACCAATCTGCTAATCAAAAGATCTTATTTTAAAAAAAATGTCTCCATTAATTGTGAATGTAAGCAAAATTCGTTTCTCGTAAACAACTATTCGTTTCTAGAAGCGTTTACGCGGCCTTGCGTGTGATGAATTATCTTACAACCACTTTTCCCATGATGGCTGATGCTCGGTCGAACGAGTTCCACTAGTTGAAACCTTTACAGTTATGCCACAGATGACTGAGTCGACTTATCCTCATCCTCTTCATATTCCATTAGCAAAGAAGAAGCTCAATTCAAGCAGCTGCTTCTCTAGAACGGTTGTATTGAGGAACACAACCCTGAGAAGATGTTTCCCAGAATACAAAACTGTTAATATGTCGACGGTAAACCGCTATCTATCCTATACAACTTCATAGAACCACCTCTTGTTTTCACGTTACAAAAACATAATTTAATAACACTCTGTCTAGAGTGGCTCTTAGGTCTTGTATGAGAAATAGTAAAAATAAAAAAGCAAAAAAAAATAACAGAAGACTAGTTTTCTTCACTTTGCTTCATTGCATTTTCCTTCCCGTTGAGGAATATATATATATATATATATATATATATATATATATATATATATATATATATTAGGAAATTTATTATGTCCGACAATTATTTCAATATATCGTCTGTTTATACGTTATTTCTATAGATACAATTTATTTACGTAAATGCTCTGTATTTTTTGTTTTTTTGTGGGTTTTTTTTTTTTTGTTGTTTTTTTTTTTTTATTTGCTAATTAAACAGTGTTAAATACATTTATCGGACTGAAATATATTTCGGTGAAAATATGTATTCTCCGAAAAGAATCAAACTTCTCTTCCTATACAGAAATTGTCATTTGACCTGACGTGCTATACTATTTAGCTACAGGGAAGCGTCTGGTTAGCAAAGTACAAATCACTGTTTATAAACACACAATCTTCGACGAATTTTCTTGATCGGTCATTTCTGCCCCCTAAATGTAAGTTAACGTAAACGTATTCAATGTTCTTGAAAAGCACATTATTGAATGGCCTTCTTCTGATGAAATTGTTGACACAGCTAGCTCACCTGTATCCGTAATTAACATAACTTTACCTTTAAATCCATTTGAACTCACTATTATCTTTTTGGGCTCTTCACCAAATGATTTTGTTAAGTTGCTGTATTTTGGTAGGTATATATTATATTTTTTTCCAATCTTAAAAGCAATTCTATGTATGGATACCTCTAAAATCTTAATTAAATTCGGATCTTGTGCAAAACCATCTTTTTTTTACCTGGATAGAGGAACAGGTAATTTACGAAATTTAACAGAAGAGAGGGTACTATTTTTCTTTTATTGTATATCCGCTGTATACCCTTCCCCCTTTAGTTTGGTTTTGACGTTTTCTGGTTTTTCGTGACTGATTAATTTGTTCAACAAATGTTGTGTTTTTCGTCTTGTCTTTACTGATAACACCCAAGGCAAATATCATTTTGACAAATAATCATGCTACCGATTTCGTCCGCTGATAAGTTTCCCATTGCTCTCTGAAAAATGGCTTTTAAGATAGAAAGAGATCAAAAGAAAGAAAGAAAGGAAGGAAGAAAAGGAAAAAGAAAGGAAGAAAGAAAGAAACCAAATAAAGAAAGAAAGAAAGAAAGAAAACGAAAGAAAGAAAGAAAGAGACCAAAGAAAGAAAGAAAGAAAGAGACCAAAGAAAGAAAGAAAGAAAGAAGGAGACCAAAGAAAGAAGGAAAGGAGAAAGAAAGAAAAAAGATAAAAAAAGACCAAAGAAAGAAAAAAGAAAGGAAAGGACTAAGAAAGATTGAGACCAAAGAAAGAAAGAAATAAAGAAAATGAGAAAGAAAGAAAGAAAAAACCAAAAAAGAAAGAAAGAAAGAAAAAAGAAAGAGGAAAAAGAAATGAAGGAAGGAAAGGAGAAAAAAAGAGACCAAAGAATGATAGAAAGAAAAAAAGAAAGGACCAAATCAGAGAAAGAAAGAAAGAGACCAAAGAAAGAAAGAAAAAGAAAGAAAAGAAGAAAGAAAGAGAAAGGAGAAAAAAGAGACCAAAGAAAGAAAGAAAGAATGGGAAGATGAAAAGAAAGAAAGAAAGAAAGAAAGAAAGAAAGAAAGAAAGAAAGAAAGAAAGCAAGCAAGAAAGAATAGGAAGATGAAAAGAAAGAAAGAAAGAAAGAAAGAAAGAAAGAAAGAAAGAAAGAAAGAAAGAAAGAGGCCAAAGAAAGAAAGAAAAGGAAAGGAGAAAGAAAGAGACGAAAGAAAGAAAGAAAGAAAGAAAGAAACCAAGGAAAGAAAGAAAGAGGCCAAAGAAAGAAAGAAAAGGAAAGGAGAAAGAAAGAGACTAAAGAAAGAAAGAAAGAAAGAAAGAAACCAAGGAAAGAAAGAAAGAGGCCAAAGAAAGAAAGAAAAGGAAAGGAGAAAGAAAGAGACCAAAGAAAGAAAGAAAGAAAGAAAGAAACCAAGGAAAGAAAGAAAGAGGCCAAAGAATGAAAGAAAAAGAAAGGAGAAAGAAAGAGACGAAAGAAAGAAAGAAAGAAAGAAAGAAAGAAAGAAAGAAAGAAACCAAGGAAAGAAAGAAAGAGGCCAAAGAAAGAAAGAAAAGGAAAGGAGAAAGAAAGAGACGAAAGAAAGAAAGAAAGAAAGAAAGAAAGAAAGAAAGAAAGAAAGAAAGAAACCAAGGAAAGAAAGAAAGAGGCCAAAGAAAGAAAGAAAAGGAAATGAGAAAGAATGAGACCAAAGAAAGAAAGAAAATGAGAAAGAAATAAAGAAAGAAACCAAAAAAGAAAGAAAGAAAGAAAGAGAGAAAAAAGAAAGGAATAAAGGAAAGGAGAAAGAAAGAAAGAAAGAAAGAAAGAAAGATGAATTTCGATGTATTTCGATGTATATTTCGATAAATATCTTGACATTCCACAATGGTAATGGGAATAATTTCAAATCGGTCACAGGTTTCAAAAGTTCCATTGAAATATCCCAAATTTGTTTGGGGTTTTTAATGAAAGATGAAATAGGTCTCAGTTTCAGACAATATTTCCTTAATTTCTGCTTACCCATTTATTCACAGAAATTTCTTGGGATCCGAGGTTCTTCACTCCCCGTATCCACTTGCATTAGAAACGGCATACCATTTAATTGAATTTTTTCAAAAGAATTTTTTTCCTTAGGTCTTTGAATTGAAGAAAAAAAAACGTTATCACTTCATTCTTTTACCAATTTTACTATCCTGTCTAATTTCTTTTTAACTTTGCATACAGACTGGAAATGATTTTTCTTCGGCAGTTACCCAAAACTTTCCCCAAAAATGCGGAAGACTCTTTTTCTCAATGTCATGCTCAAAATTACTGTATTTGCATTCCTTGTACCTCTCAACGTTGCCCGCAATAGAATTGTGTTTTTTTATCAATTCCACACAGGCAGTTAGATATAAATGTCCATTTCTCTGTTTATTTCTCGGTCCGTTGATGAAGGACACAGGCGTGTCCGAAAATTCCGAACGTGCTTCATTTGTGCCATATGGTTAATAATTAATATTTAATAAATATTTATCGTGCTAATTATATTAGTACCCTTTCGTTTGTCCTTGTTTTATTAACTAATCTATCTATCTATCTATACACCAAGTTCAAATTTCAGTCGAATCCATTACATTCACTTTCATGCTAATAGCCTTAGTAAAGGTATGAATCCTCTTCTCCCTCCAGCTATGGGTTAAATAGCAGGATGGACTGGGTTCTATAGCCTTGGATGGCAACTGGTCTAGGATAAGGACAACTTTGAATTCAAAACCTGCGGAGGGTCGTTTGGGGACCTTGTGATACGTAGTGCACCAGGTCTCTGAATTCGGCCCTTCAAAAAGTGTGGATGATTCTGTACAAAGCCTTCACCACTATAATCAAATCATATGCGCTGGTGTCTGGCTGTCGGTTCCTAGGAACTGAGCTGCTTGACCCTCATACGTCGAATACGACGGGCGAGTCCACCACACACTGTATATATCTTCGATTTAACATATTCAAATAGTTCGACTCTTATTTACCAATCCACTACAGCATTATCCAAATACATCATTAGCAAATGGAATAATAGTGCTTCTGAAACAAATTGATTTTTTACCCTTATTGCGTGTATGTTAAAATCGAAGAAATAAAACAAATTAATGCCTTTTTCATTACTTTTGAAGAAAAAAAGTCCATTGATTTAAGAAACAGATGACCACAAGAAAACGTAGCAATAAGAAACAACATTAAAATATGAGCAATAAATAAAAATGTAAAAAAAAACTATAAACAGCAAATCACTGCATCCGGATCCACAATTATTTCCACTCAAGAGCCGTAGAATAATTCCAAACATAACCGTTATCGCCTCCAAAAATAACCATTAGTATAAAACGATAGACTACCCACAATGCATCACTGACATGAATGTATAAATAGTCGAGCAAAAACACAAGGCACATGACCTGAAGATTGCGTTTACTTCAATGCACACACACACACATACACACACACACACACACACACACACATATATATATATATATATATATATATATAAAGCTCCTGATGATAACGCATCGCTATTCGATTATCAAATAAAGCGCCCTGTCAACTGATTTGACGTTTATGTACATCACGTATATAATACATTAAAAGATTCTCTTACTCTGCAGTGCGCTGACGGCTTAGGGGTAGAATCACTGACTGTTGCCAAATCGTTCAAGTTTTATCCCGGCTGACACATTGATGAGCTGTGTTACAGCGAAACAGACATATATACATATACATATATATATATATATATATATATATATATATATATATATATATATATATATATGTGTGTGAGTCTTGTCGAAATTAAATTTTTGTACTTTTATTCTGTTTCCCTAAGTTCAGATTTACAAAATGTCAAGAATAAAGTAAGCAGTATAAAGAAGCGTTATTCTCGACGAAATGGGGTTAAAGGGGCCTTTGTGCTTAGATGTGAAGCAATACACACCATACCAAATATGCAGATCTGTTGTTGGTAATTACTCAAGAAATGCCGCTGTTCGGCGTCAGTGTCCAAGCTGCCGGGACCGTTGCATCTCTGACGTTAGCAGAAATAAATTCCACGCAGTCAATGTGGCCGACACCGGAAATAACCATAGAAAAATAAATGCGTGTAATGAGCATAGAAAAGGCGAGCAGGATTAATAGCGAATGCTCAAAGCTGCAATTTGCAGGAAGAATTTGGGACGTTGATCTCGACAAAAGAGATGGTTGGTCAAACACAGAGAAATAAAGGTAATTTGTGGAATACTGCAGATTAAAGGGACATAAAGATGGAGAAAGCGATATAAAGTAGAGAAGAATCAAAACAAATGACAGATGAAGAAAGAAAGAAAGAAAGAAAGAAAGAATGGAGAAAGAAAGAAAGAACGAATGAAAGGAAAGAAAGAAAGAAAGAAAGAAAGAAAGAAAGAAAGAAAGAAAGAAATACTGAACTGAAGGAAGAAAAAAAACGGATGAAAAGAAAGAAAGAAAAGAAAGAAAGATGACAAAGTTTTCCAACAAGAAAGAAAGAAAGAAAGAAATGAAGGAAATGAGTGAAAAGAGGAAGAAATAAATAAAGGAAGACATAATAAAGTAAAGAAAGAATGAAGTAAAGAAAGAAAGAAAAAAAAGAATAAAGTAAAGAAAGAAAGGAAGAAAGAAAGAATGAAGCAAAGAAAGAAATGGGGGAAGGAAGAAGAAAGAAAGAAAGGATGGAAGAAAAAAGAAAGAAAGAAATAATGAACTGAAGGAAGAAAGAAACGGATTAAAAAAAAGAAAGAAAGAAAGAAAAAAAGAAAGAAAGATGGCAAAGTTATTAAGAAAGAAAGAAAGAAAGAAAGAAAGAAAGAAAGAAAGAAAGAAATGAGGGAAAGGAGTAAAAAATTAAGAAAGGATGGAAGAAAAAGAAAAGAAGAAATAAAGAAAGAAAGAAAGAAAGAAAGAAAAAGGATGGAAATAAATAAATAAATAAATAAAGAAATTAAGGAAAGAAAGAAACAAAGAAAGAAAGAAAGAAATGAAGGAAATGAGGGAAAGGAAGAAGAAATAAAGAAAGGATGGAAGAAAAAAGAAAGAAAGAAAGAAAGAAATACTGAACTGAAGGAAGAAAGAAACAGATGAAAAGAAAGAAAGAAAGAAAGATGGCAAAGTTTTCCAACAAGAAAGAAAGAAAGAAAGAAAGAAAGAAAGAAAGAAAGAAATGAAGGAAACGAGTGAAAAGAAAGAAAAAAGAATAAAGTAAAGAAAGAAAGAAAGGAAGAAAGAAAGAATGAAGTAAAGAAAGAAAGAAAGAAAGAAAGAAAGAAAGAAAGAAAGAAAGAAAGAAATGGGGGAAGGAAGAAGAAAGAAAGAAAGGATGGAAGAAAAAAGAAAGAAAGAAATACTGAACTGAAGGAAGAAAGAAACGGATTAAAAAAAAGAAAGAAAAAAAGAAAGAAAGATGGCAAAGTTATTAAGAAAGAAAGAAAGAAAGAAAGAAAGGAAGGAAGAAAGAAAGAAAGAAATGAGGGTAAAGAGTAAAAATAAAGAAAGGATGGAAGAAAAAGAAAAGAAGAAATAATGAAGTAAAGAAAGAAAGAAAGAAAGAAAAAAAGAAAAAGGATGGAAATAAATAAATAAAGAAATTAAGGAATGAAAGAAAGAAAGAAAGAAAGAAAGAAAGAAATGAAGGAAATGAGGGAAAGGAAGAAGAAATAAAGAAAGGATGGAAGAAAAAAGAAAGAAAGAAAGAAAGAAATACTGAACTGAAGGAAGAAAGAAACGGATGAAAAGAAAGAAAGAAAGAAAGATGGCAAAGTTTTCCAACAAGAAAGAAAGAAAGAAAGAAAGAAAAGAAGGAAATGAGTGAAAAGAGGAAGAAATAAAGAAAGGAAGACATAATAAAGTAAAGAAAGAAAGAAAGAATGAAGTAAAGAAAGAAAGAAAGAATGAAGTAAAGAAAGAAAGAATGAAGTAAAGAAAGAAAGAAAGAAAGAAAGAAAGAAAGAAAGAATGAAGTAAAGAAAGAAAGAAAGAATGAAGTAAAGAAAGACAGAAAGAAAGGATGGAAGAAAAAGAAAAGAGGAAATAATGAAGTAAACAAAGAAAGAAAGAAAGAAAGAAAGAAAGAAAGAAATGAAGGAAATGAGTAAAAAGAGGAAGAAATAAAGAAAGGAAGACATAATAAAGTAAAGAAAGAAAGAAAGAAAAAAAAGAATAAAGTAAAGAAAGAAAGAATGAAGTAAAGAAAGAAAGAAAGAAAGAAAGAAAGAAAGAAAGAAATGGGGGAAGGAAGAAGAAAGAAAGAAAGAAAGAAAGAAAGAAAAGAAAGGATGGAAGAAAAAAGAAAGAAAGAAATACTGAAATGAAGGAAGAAAGAAAGGGATTAAAAAAAAGAAAGAAAGAAAAAAGAAAGAAAGAAAGAAATGAGGGAAAAGAGTAAAAAATAAAGAAAGGATGGAAGAAAAAGAAAAGAAGAAATAATGAAGTAAAGAAAGAAAGAAAGAAAGAAAAATGATGGAAATGAATAAAGAAAGAAAGAAATTAAAGAAAGAAAGAAAGAAAGAAAGAAAGAAATGAAGGAAATGAGGGAAAGGAAGAAGAAAAAAAGAAAGGATGGAAGAAAGAAAGAAAGAAAGAAAAAAGAAAGAAAGAAAGAAAGAAAGAAAGAAAGAAATGAGTGAAAAGAGGAAGAAATAAAGAAAGGAAGAATGAAGTAAAGAAAGAAAGAAAGAAAAAAGAATGAAGTAAAGAAAGAAAGAATGAAAGAAAGAAAGAAAGAAAGAAAGAATGAAGTAAAAAAAGAAAGAAAGAAAGAAATGGGGGAAGGAAGAAGAAAGAAAGAAAGGATGGAAGAAAGAAAGAAAGAATGAATGAACTGAAGGAAGAAAGAA